CTTTGAGACATTTGAACCATGGGTTTGTTGATTCTGTCGATAGGCTGAAGCTGCTGCTTGTATTACAATTAGTCTTTTTGGTGTATGCCGGATCCTTGGTGAAATCTGGATGTGGTTTGTTTTCCTTATCTTCTTTGAGTTTTCACATGGTAGGAGCATATTGTTTTTAGGATTTCTTTGTGAGACTGGGGGTCTTCCTCTTTTCTTCTTAGTTACTTGGCCCTGGTTTGTCTCCAAAGTCGTTGGGTTAGGAGGAAGATCTTGGTTCTGTTCTTGGTCCGCCGTGGTGAAAGATTGAATAACTTCACTACTCAAACCGTTATAGTACGCTGTTGATGCATATAGTTTTCTAAAACAACAAAATTGCACATAATTGGTTAAAATCAGCAAAACGACAATATTTTGCGTTCCGTCAAAAATTGAAATACTGTATACATCGAAGTTTAGGATGCCGTTTTCTAAACTATTTAGTATGACATGAACTTTTTTTTTGACATATTTATAGTTCAAAGATAGGCAATTTGCTAGATAGCCAAAAAAAAAAAATTATAATTCAAAAACTAACAAAAAACCCTAAAATTAATGGATGAGATTTGGCCGAGTATTTGCTTAGTTTTTGAATTATAATTTTTTTTAGGTTATCTAGCCAATTAATCCTTCGAAGTTAATCTTGTAATTTTTTTTTTCGAGTTTTTTTTCTTTTCTTCTTTTTTCATTTTCTCAATTTCGTATGGACAATAAAGCTAACTTTTGTAAAAAAAATTATGGGTGTATTATTTACAGAAACTATAAATATAAATTAATCTGGATTTTAGTGTGGGATCAGCCTAATTATATAAAAATCAACTACGAGACGATAATTCACTAATGCAATTGTCAGTTGCTTTTTGTAGAAAAAAAGTAAGCATATCCTGCAATGAATCCCATATCATATTTATCATCTTCAACTCGAAGGGGAGGGGGGGGGGGATTCTTAAAACTAAAATAATTAAAAATTTGGAAAAATATAGAAAGGAATTTGTGAAAATTATGGGTTTATGGTGGTGCGTATGAAGTTGTATTCATACGTGGTTATGAAAGAGAAGAAGAAAAAATGAAGAGATGGGAACAAACACATGGAACTCCACTCTTTCAAATACATGGATTACATTTCATGCAAGTAGGTACACAGTACACACCCTTTAATTTCCCCGTAATTGGATATTGTGTCATCTTTCACTTTCTATTTTCATTTTTATATAATAATTAAAACTAACCCATTTTAAAAATCTTTCTCGAATTTATGCGAAATTACCGCTTTCATCACCCAAAATTATAAGATGACATATATAAGCCAATAGAAAAACAGGGAAAACTACATGATCGCTCTAATTAGACACCATAAACAGGGAATAATTATTCCAAACCCCGTTTATTGAAAAATCAATACTTTTTTTTTCTGGACAATGAAAGACACCATATTTATCCATTAGGTTTCTAGAATGGTCAATTTGGCTAACAGCCATAATGGGTTACATAATAGAGAAAATAGCTATGATATTAGACTATTTTAACAAGTAACTATTTGACTTGTCAAAACTCAAATTTACCAGATTTGGATAATCAATGGATGTGTAAGAAAGTTTTCAAAATAATGGCCGAGATCGTGGTTTTAATATCCGTTGGAAAATTTTCATCGATTTCTGACGGTTTTTAAACCGTAAAAAAATGATCTGAATTCTATTTGAATTCGGTCTGAATTTTCTGACAGGAAAAAGTCGGTTGAAAATACAGTCTGAAATTGCCTTGTTTTCTTGTAGTGCCTCCGTTTCAAATCTTCTTGATTTGAAGAGAAAACTCATAGACACATCCAAACACCGGCTGAATATGTGTCTACGTTACGGCGGCAATGATTACAAGGTGTCTTGGTGTGGTGAGTTTATCGAAACGGAGATTGAATATGCTATGTCGGTGACGGTGAGACTCGCTGGATATGCGATCTCAACGACGACGAAGTTATTGATGATGATGATGAGATTGAGGAGTTTGCTGGAATATTTAGCCGAGTCCGATCGAACTTGTTCGAATAAGAAGTTGGTGACGTCAAAGGCAATTTTGTCATTATATAGATTATACACTTTGTATCCTACCCATAGAATCAATATAGTTATTCTACTAATTATAATTTTTTTCTAGGTTATTTCTCCTAATTTCTCTTTCTAGAAAGAGTTAATTTACCCAATAACAAAAAAAAAGAACATATTTACAAAAAACCCTAAATTTAAGGGGTGTGATTGTGACACATGGAGTTTTTTTTTTTGCGCTAAATTGATACATAGAGTTATTGATTACTTTTTTAGTTATGTTTTTTTGTGGTTATTAGAATTAAATTAACCCTTCTAAAAAGACTATCATCAAAGAAAAACCAATCTAGAACCTATAAACTTAGTATAACGAGAAATCTCATGTTTTCCGCACCAATGTTAGTATAACGAGAAATAAAACAAACAGAAAAAGAAGATTTTAGTGTTATAAAATCATTAAGTGACGTCACAAATATTGGCCATTTCTCTAGGTTGCTGGCCATAGATGTTAAATCCGAGTAATCTGTCTACAATTAAGCAATCCTAATTGTGGAGACTAAAATCAAACACGTCATCATCCATAAGAGCATGTCCAGTTTTGCATAGAGAAATGGGAGACTCATCCGAAATCTGTTTAGGCCTAGATGAAAGATCTTATGCATTGATGCCAACCATGATCACTCATGTGATTTCAATCCTTCACTCATGTGATTTGAATCCTTCCAAGAACCATACAAACTGCAGAAAAAACATATACAGAAATCGACCTTTAGTTCAAATGATGTTAAATCTCATCGCTCACTTGAGCTTAAAGAATATATAAAAACTCCAGTTTTGGAATGTTACACTTTGCTCGAGACTCACGCCATGTTTTGGGGACATTTAAGGAAAAACATACACGTAGCTTACATGTAGATTTTCGGTTTGTGTGTTTATCAAGTTGGGCACGGAGTCTTTTGCAAAGGCAAAACACACAAAAAACATACGTTTATAAAAAGCTATATATGACGTGTGCAAAGAGGATGATAGATAGTGTTAGCAAAAGAATAATCAAAGCTGATATGATATTGTTTGCTTTACAATTGCTTCAAATCAACAATGCCTCAACCCATAAAATTAGCAATTATTATCTTTAATTCAATAACGTATCCCATTGGTCGTGGCTATTCATATAAATATATTTTTACTTTATAGTTTTTCTTTTGTTAATCTACGTACATGATTCTCGATCGGAGGAAAAAAAACGATTTATATATATGTCATATTTATCTAAAACTCTATATCACCTTTTTTGATGTTTCATCTATATAAGTTTTCCCGTTCATCATACTCTTCTTTATCAGCTCTGTTTCTTCTAAAATTCAGAACAATTAACTCTCAGTAAACTTGAAAAAAAAAACAGAAAAACAAAATATTTAGATTAATGGAGGGTGCAAGTAGATTAATTCAAAAGTTTAGACCTTATTTGTTAATGATATTTTTGCAATTTGGAGCAGCAGGAACGTATATTGTGATTATGGCTACTCTTAACCAAGGTCAGAACCGTTACGTTCTAATTGTGTATCGTAATGCTATAGCTGCTCTTGTCCTTGCTCCTTTTGCACTCTTCTTTGAAAGGTTAGTCTATTTTAAGCAATAGTAATAATACATTTTTTTATAGTTTACGGAAGAAAACCAACAACAAGGGTTACAGCTGATTCTTCATTTTTTTTTTCTTGGATTGATTTTGATTAGGAAAGTGAGACCGAAGATGACACTATCGGTTTTCTGGAAAATAATGTTACTCGGTTTCTTAGAGTAAGAATCAAGCTTTCCCCTTTTTCACACTACTCTTAAGTCTAAAACCAAAAAAAATATTAAGTCTTGCAAATGTTATAAACGAATGCATGATCTTATTATATAAATCTTGATGCTTCCATTTTGTAAGTAACATGATGGTGACATATTAAAGTACCCCTAATACAAACTTTCCGTACCGGCCTGTGTGTGTAGGCCAATCTTGGACCAGGGTTTTGGTTACTTAGGGATGAACATGACATCAGCTACATATACATCTGCTATCATGAACGTTCTTCCTTCGGTCACATTCGTAATCGCTTGGATTCTAAGGTAGTCAATAGTTTTGAACACATATTTAAACCCTAATTGGATATAAAGCAACAGAGATGTATATATATGAACAGAATGGAGAAAGTGAAGATAGTAGAAGTAAGAAGCCAAGCAAAGATAGTTGGGACATTGGTGGCTCTTGGAGGGGCATTGGTAATGACACTATACAAAGGTCCGCTTATTCCTTTACCATGGTCTAACCCGGACCAATACAATGGAAATACCAAGAGTTCACAAGACCATAACCATTGGGTTGCTGGGACTTTGTTGATACTCCTCGCTTGTGTTGCTTGGTCTTGTTTCTATGTTTTGCAGGTAAGCTTCTTAACTTTTTTTTCCTTTATCATACTTCCAATTAATTAATCCACAAACCAAATAAGATAAATGTAGA